TACACACTGAAAGCAACCTTCTGATAAGCGTCATAATTCGGTTACAAGAAACGTTGAAGTTCCATAAATGCATACCTTTGCCTAATAACAAAGGCATAAATGTGTTTGGGTTCCCCCACGTTATATCAGTTGCACGGAAGTAGCTGGCAACGCAAGTAATCCGGGCGCTGCAGCTTTAAGCAGCTGCGCGCGCTCCCGCGGACGGCAATCACTTTCTGGCAGACAATCACTTTTGGGCACAACACCGGAAACAGCGCAACCCGAGGCTACTTTAGCATGTTAGCTAGCTCTGCCATATCAGAAGTGTCCAATCTGTGACTACAAAGTCCACAGTCTGTTAGTCTGGTCTGTTTCTAACCTTCCCTCATACTTTCACTATCAAATCCTCATCATTAAATCTGTATTTCCAACACTGTGTGAATTTCGTCAGAGGAGCGAGCTGCACCTGAGTGTAACACTTCCGGTCACAGAGGACTGTCTGCGGAGCTGCTGCAGGTCAAACAGAGACTTTCTTACCGTTCATGAGGAGCAGGAACACCACCAGCGTCTTCATCCTCCTTTAAAAACAACTCAAACCGACACAAAGTCCCGTTAAATCCTCTGCTGACCCAACGAACCCACACCTGGACACACCTGCAGCTCCCAAACACGCCCACGCACAAAGTTTACTTTCGTTTTAACAGGAAGTCTCCGTATGTCGCAGATATCAGTGATAATGCGTTTGGTAGAGGGAGCCTGGATATTAGTGGTGAAAGGTGTGGGGCTTTTTGTGTTCAACAATTACTCATTGTTGTGCAAAGTGAAAATCACAGTGTGTTGGTGGTCATTTCTTGTCTTTGGCATCAATTTAAAAGAAAACAGCTGTAGCTTATTTAAACTCAATTAGTAAAAGCGTCTTCCATTTTTTTTTTTTTGCTTCAATGCTGTTGTTATTTTTCATGATTAAGAGTACTTTATTGATCCCTAGGGGAAATTATTTTTCGTTACAGTGCTCCATTATAAACAAACATTAACAAAGACAGACAATACACTAACTAAGAATAGTACAATATATACAGACATATATACATAAAAGTCACCTATTAATAAATAGCTGAAAAAGAAACATGTGTAGTTGTAGCAGCAAACAGTGTGTTAAGTGGATGCGTTGTACAGGGAGCCACAGGCAGGAAAGATTTCCTGTGTCGTTCAGTGGTGCTTTTCGGTAATCTCAGTCTTTCACTGAACGAGCTCCTGACTGACCAGCAGATCATGTAGTGGGTGGGAGGTGTTATCCAACATTGTCTTTATCTTGGACAACATCTCCGACACCACCTTGAGGGAGTCCAGTTCCATCCCCACAACAGTGGGGTTTATTGTAAAATGTGTACTCCAAGGTATTTATAGTCCTCCACAATGTCAACACTGACCCCCTGGATTGAAACAGGGGTCAAGTGTTTCCTGGTCTTCCTGAAGTCCACGATCAGTTCCTTGGTCTTTGCCACGTTGAGCTGCAGATGATTCTGCTCACACCACGTGACAAAGGAGTCGACCACAGCCCGGTACTCTGTCTCATCATCCCTGCTGATGCAGCCAACCACCGCAGAGTCATCAGAAAACTTCTGAAGATTATTTTAAGTTATTTTTCACACCATAAGCTGAATGTTACTTCCTGATGCTATTGTTTTGTTTTTCTAAATTTCATAATCAGCCCTACAGTACGTAATTGGACTCCCATCCACTATTACACAGGAGTCCGAGCTGAGTAAGCAGACTTTAATGACCTTTTTAACCTTTTAAAAGAGCAGAGTCTCTTTTTCTTTTTTTTTTATCTGTGACCACTCTCAGCAGCATGTAAATGATGTGACACAGTGGAACAAATAAGTTTAGGTGATGGATAGATGTCCCAGAAAATGAAATTATTTGATCAAAGTACAGTTTACCTGATTCACAAGCTCCGTGGTTGCCTGCAAAATAAACATGGTTATCAAATTCCATGATTTTCCCTGGGTTTTAATCACCGTACAGTAAAAAAAATTACATCATTATTAGCAATAAAGCAAAAAAGCAATAAATATCATGATGTCACTATTATATTGATATCCAATATAACTGTGTCAGTAAAACATATTCACAATTTTAACACAAAACATTCTGTCATGGTCCTGAGTGTGTGGACTCAGTGGTTTTGCTTTGATTGTTATTATCTTTTGTTTCAATTTAACTCTGATTACGGTTTTCTGGTTCTTAAGGTTTGGTTTCTGTGTTCCCTCTGTACTGTGTTAGCATTGTGTACCTGTGTTCATGTTATTTCCTGCTTAACCCTTGTCTTGTTATGTCCAATTAATCCCAGCTGTGTCTCCCTCCTGTTTCTCATTCCCTGATTTAGGTTATCTTTAGGCTCCATCGCCACTTCTGTTTGTATTTCCACCGTTTAAATAAAGCTCACTCGCATCTTAAGCTGTGACTGCATCTTGGGTCCTAATTCTCACTCTTCACACCGCTTGCCCCGGCAAACCTTGACACATTAATTTCTATCGTATGAATAAATGGGGAAAAGTTGCCACCAAGAGCCCTGCAACTTAAAAACAATATGAGATCTGGACATTAGGAGGACAGGAGCTAAATTCCTGCATGCTACTAAAAGTTTTATGGGGAAAAAAATTAAATGCATGTGGGCTGTACGCATGTCCAAAACAAGTAATAACTTAATGTGAGCAGATGTATTTATGACCTGATTAACAAAACATCTTGTTAATTTATTCTGTAGGTTAAACTTACTTTAAAAAAGGAAACATCAAACCTAAATCTAATCATAGTTTACAGTGAACACTGAAGAAAATTAAACAAGTATATAACAGTGCATCAATGTTAATTATTACATTGTTTAATTTACCAGTCCTTTGGTTTACATTCTAGTGTCAAATTATTTTTGCACTGTCAATGTTTTTTCATAATGCTCGTTTGAAATGTGCTTTAACTTGGGAAAACTCTCCTTAGATCATTTTTACCTTCTGGCAAGAGCTCTCCTCACAACAGTACAGTTGACATTTCCTGACAGTAGTTAGTTTTATGAAATTCTTAGTCACAAAATTAAAAACTTTATTTTTATTTAACTTTCATGCTGGATTGAATGAAGCCCAGCTGAAAAATCCCAGCAGCTCAAACTGAATGTGTCACATTATCAGAGGATACTCATTCATTCAATGCTGATGTACAAAATGTACAAATGTTTTCACGCTTTGTCATAATTTGCTAAACCTCTTTCACTCTACTAGAATTAGAGGTGATAGGTCACAGATTAGAACACTAATAAGTTACATTTGTAGGCTGTTCATCTGCATGAGTATTTATTCAATCACATCAAGGACTACTTCCCCCCAGAATTCAACCCCAACCAGTTTGCATACCGCACAAACAGGTCCACAGAAGACGCCATCTCCATAGCCCCCCACTATGTGCTGAGTCACTTAGAACAGCATCAGAGCTACATCGGAATACTCTTTGTGGACTACAGCTCAGCCTTTAATAGAGGCATCCCGGACATCCTCTTCACCAAACTGGTCACTCAGCAGAGCAGCAAACATCATCAAGGACAGTTCCCACCCTGGTTTCAACATGTTCAGCCTGCTTCCCATTTCCTCTATGAACCACCACTGTACAATACCAAATTCTATGTGAAATTACCCAACTGTATATACAGTGGGGCAAAAAAGTATTTAGTCAGCCACCGATTGTGCAAGTTCCCCCACTTAAAATGATGACAGAGGTCAGTAATTTGCAC